ACTCGCAACTCACTGCTACAATTCTGCTATGCTTAACCGCCCGGCCTCCTTGCCGATTCTGACCAGAAACTGGCGCACAGAGCTGGGATCGAACCCGCGCCTCTCTAGTGCGTCAATCTTGGTACTCTGAACTTTAACCACTGGGCCACCCTGCCACCCACTGGCAGGGCACATATGAGTGCTGAGCTCTGAGAGTTTCAAGCTGGTTTAACAGAGACTTAGATGTTCCCCAAAATTATGGAGCCATACTCTGCTTCGTATGAATGACATATATCGCAATAGGTTTCGTAACGCCCCAAGTTAACTGAACTCGGTGCTTGGGGCACTTGTAGCCTTTTGAGACAAGCTATGCGAGTTTGTCTGACATATCCCTTGAAGATGAGATGCGGAGAATCGAAATAAAATTCCAAAACTTTCTAATGAGCCCCATATTGAATATTTCTGTTGCAGACTCGAAGTGATGATACAGCTGGAGTAGTACGATGAGATGTGAAGAGCTGGGATGAACACTTTGCCGGGCTATTATGGAAGTAACCATACAACTTGGCCGGCACCTGATCACTCACTCCAAAACTATGAAATTTGAAAGTAGTACAAAACGTTATCAAATGTACACTCAATGTCCAGATAAACAATCAAACAACACTCTTGAGCAATTCATGCTGTAATGATAGCGTTCTTTGCCAGATGCAGAGCATAAATTGTGCTTTTTCCCCTTTCTAAAATCAAGGTGAAGCGCGGGGAAAACATTGAAACTTTCTAAGATATACTGCAAGCGGTGCAGAACCATGCTACCCTGTCTGGTCCTTGGGTTAAGGAAGCTCTATTGAATAAATTAGGAGTGAGAATTACAAGATTGTAAGAATGTGGTTCCACAGCGACTATCAATATTTGTTGGGAAGCAGCCATCATTCGACAAGCAAATAAGAAAGGTCTCAATTGTGTCTCCAAAGAGTGACCAGTCATATTAGATCTGCCACTGCTGCCCCACAAGGGAGAATGAGCGTTAAAGTCCCCAACTGCCACAAATTTGTCTCCAAGCTGAGTCATAAAATGAGTCACCTCATTGTGTTCCACATTCCTGCCTGGATTATAAAAATTACCTATTGCAATCCATCCAAGGGTATTATTTAATTTAATTGCTTGAAATTCAAGATTTTTAGCCCCAGGATATGGAGGACGATCAAATTGCTGTTTCAGGAGGTCTCTGTGGATCAAAATTGCCATCCCACCCCTTAATAAATTTCTTCTTTGAGACTTTAAAACAAAATATCCAACAAAGGAAGGCTCATGTGATCTGGGCCATGTCTCACAAAGGCACACCACATCTGGCTTTTCCCTGTAACTAAAGATTATATTTATTATGAATAGATATGAAAATTTAGCTTACAATAATTGACCGGTTACTTTAGAAAACGCAATTAACACACGTGATTTCGCCGTGAACTCAACTGACTTTCACCCATTTTAGGAAGAGATGCCTGTCAGAGACCACCACTGACCTGCTTCGAATGGACTATCATGATCCCTTCCTTCACTAACGTATGCTGCAACACTTCTGGACTGTATCATTATCAGCCGCAGGCCACCAGACAGATCACATTCAATGAATTAGGCCAATCAGCCCACAAGAGAACAGCCTGCTACCGTCTGCCATTAGGCGGCAAATTAATTCTGCATTACTCGGACAGAGCGCGTAGGAGCCTTGCGATGAATGTTACGTTCGCCACCAACCCGTTCGTATCTCGCCCGTGCATCGAATCACATAACATAACATAACATAACATAACATAACATAACATAACATAACATAACATAACATAACATAACATAACATAACATAACATAACATAACATAACATATTGATCTCGGCGCTGAAGTGTAGGCCTGATGTGGCCTGTCGCCGATTCTTTTCCTTTTCGTGCCTTGTTCACAGAAGATCTATTATCGTGTCATTTGACCAGATCTTTTCATGACTGACGATAGTTTCAAGTAGCTACTAGACTTCCACCGGGTTCGATATGGTGCTAGGCATTTCAAATCTGAACATATATTTTTCCATAGCTTTATTTAGTCTGTTCTTGAACGCGTTCATACTTGGAGCGCCAACGATGTCATTGGGGAGGCTGTTCCACATGTCGGTGATTCGAAGCGAGAAGAAATTTTGTCGCGTGGAGAAGTTGCAGCGGTTGCAACCCAACGGTTGAACGGCCACTCGTCGAAGGACGATAGATTTTGGAACAGAACTGTGCTATCTGAAACCTTACTCCAGATGCTGCGAGCTAAAAGTTTCGTAATTTAACGAAGCCCCCGAAGTCATATTCGATTCGCGGTCTGGTGGTGCACGGCAGGTTTCATGCATGCAGTTCCCCTAATGAGCTAAACTGATTGATGGTATTTATTTGCAGGCTGGCTACAGTTCGAGCTATAGCCAGGGCACGAAGTGATGTTTCGATGTAATGTTCAGTGGTGGACGAGCACTGCACTCTGGGCTATTCGTTCCCGTGTATGTTAGTGTAAATCCCGTAATATTCAAAACAAGATGATGTCATGGGCTGGTTGTTGACGAGTGGTTTAATCCTTGGCTGATTACTTTTCTTACGGAAATATGCTAGGCGTTCCATTCAGGGATGCAAAAAAATTGTGGTGCACGGCTGCAGTACCCTTCAAGAACGTAAGGAGCATATAAATAACTATTTCCTATTTTTTGTATGAATCGCAGAAAATTTAATCTATAATTTCTAATTTGGAAAAGGATACAAAATTTAATTTATAATTTCTAATAGTATGCTTATCAATTTCAACGCTATTTGCCCTTCTTACGATGTCGCGTAAATAAACCTGATCGAGACGAGGTTTAAAAAATATAACTCAGTACTCACTGCAGTGAGTGACAGAGAGCGCATTTTCTCGTCGACGAAAACTTGAGGTCACGGACGGACAGACGGACAGACAGACAGACAGACGGACATGGCGAGCACAATAGTGCATTTTTTCATAAATGAGAAAATGCGCTAAAAATGACAAGAAAGCAAACACACAAACAACTAAAAGCTCTAAGATATACTTTTCAGTTTTAAAGAGCGAATAAGTTAAAAAGGGATTAGAATCAAAATTACGTGAAATCTGTGAGAGCACACAAAAATATCTTCAATATAAAATATAAGCTATCAAAACAAAATAATATCTCCACCTAGCATCAGTTCTCTAATAATTTCCAAATCTCGCCCCAGTTTTTGATCACTTTCTCCGGTCTGTCCTCCTGCTGAGCAGCAGCCAGCAGCTCGCCAGGCGTGGCACGCACGGCAGCCTGACCTGGATGATCGTTGTTCCTCAACAGCGTCCGTAAACTATAATAAATTAATTAATATATACCTGCTTTGGGACAGTCGACTGCCCAAGTAAAAATTGATGAAGCATCAATGGCTAAGTGGACTTTCCGCGTCTCTTAAGCACTCTATTCTCCTCAATGTGTGTTCGTGCTCTGGGTTCTGTAGCAACCATCTTAACTTCTAGATTTGGTCCACTGAAGAAATACTCAATTTTTTTCAACCTGGTTTAGTTCATCACCAGCCCTGTAACCGAAAACTATAAAACTGGATTGCCGTATTTCAACTAAGCATCTCCCTAACCTCTGTTTATTTCGTTAACTTCTGATCAGGCATTAGCTACCTGATCTTTACAGTTCTCTAAATTGTGCACTGTGAATTTTGTGCTCTTGTGCCTTCTTTACTCTGCACTTACTTAGTGCTCTATAAAGACTATACTCGGTATGTCATTCAATCTGTGAAAGGCTAGGATCATCGAACGGAACATCCAACACAAACCGTATCTTGATGTGGTTTTTTACATTTGTCTGCAAAATATACATATTTTTAATTTACACACACACACACAATACTTTTAGATAGGAAATTCATGTTAGAAGTAGTTAACACATTTCATTTCATAAGTGCATTCGGTGGACATTTGCCACAGACGTTGATCGCGTCTTCACTGTGAGCGTTTGACTCGTCTTCACTGTGAGCGTTTGACTCGTCTTCACTGTGAGCGTTTGACTCGTCTTCACTGTGAGCGTTTGACTGCGTCTTCACTGTGAGCGTTTGACGCGTCTTCACTGTGAGCGTTTGACGCGTCTTCACTGTGAGCGTTTGACGCGTCTTCACTGTGAGCGTTTGACGCGTCTTCACTGTGAGCGTATGACTCGTCTTCACTGTGAGCGATGTGCATAATTGTTATTGGAGCATCCGCTCTGGAATTTAAATGAGTCTGAAATTCCACTTACAGTCCACACTCAGTCTGATGTCTTGTTTAATAGCCTTGTTTAATGTTGGAAAATTTATTTTTTCTGCGATCTCAAACACGTCATCCCCCTGTTGCTGATTTGGATTTGAGTTGTGAATAAATGAACATAAAAATACTTGAATTGATATAAGTTACAGCTGACAGGGGGTGGAAGGAGTCAGTATAAAATCCGCTTAGCGCACATAAAGTTGCTACGCCATCAGAATTTCTAAAGCCAAGACGTCACAAACGAAGCAAGGAACCAGCCTGTGATGCAACCATTAGTAAAACGTACTGTGCATCTTCACTTGGCGCGTTCGGTGCATCTTCAAACAACGTGTTCGAGTATTTCTATTGAATATTGTCTTTACATCATCAACATTACGTCGGGGGTACTGGTACAGCGAAAGTTCGCCGAGGCTGCAGTGCAAGCGCTGAGTCTATCTTAACTATAATCTCTAAACCGCATCTCCACTGTGGATGTCATTATCTTAAATTTTTCTCATAGCATTACAGTGCTCTAAATTCTAACTCCATCGGCCACATTAAAAGTCAGTAGAAAACCTTCAACACAGGATACGGCCAAGGATCATAGAAATTCTGTCCAGGTGTAATAATTATATCAATATTTGGGTCAAAGCATCACATGACGGGCTCGAGAAAAATCGTATCTCGGGCCCTGGTTGCCATTGTAAAGCCCGAGTGTTCGTTTGGACTTAGAGTGTGACGGGACGCACGCTTGTGCTTCACTGGCTTTAATTGCACTCACATTCACTGTCTTTTTCGGTGAGCAATTAAAGCTTAGCTCAGATGTATATAGTGCGAAGTATTGATCGGGGCATCGTGTAAGGGTTTGATGACCGTGCACTTGCATGTGTCTGTCTTTATTTTCAATACTTCATTAAATGTTAGAGATTGAGTTTTTTTGCCAGACTTCAATGCAGTGAAGTTTTTGGAAATAATATTACCACACCAAAAGACTATCGGAAAGTTAGTGCGATCTTAACTACGTCAGAGCCTAATTACCTTGATTTGCAAGGTAACGTGATGGTGGTCATCTGTCTCTAGGTTGAGAGGTCCTATAAATGCCATCTTCCAGGACCCTGACTTATCTGCCAGTCTTGCAAAGAGGCAGGGTTGGGAGCAGCGATTGATGATGTCTGGATGGAACTTGCCCTCGAGGCAGAAAAGCTCTTTTGTTCAACTCACCGCAGCTTAGTGATTGAGATATCTGCGCGTTGCGATAACTCGTGGAAACTCCCAACAAAGAGCGTTTTTTTTTCAAATAGCAAACGTGTTTTAAACGTTTTCTTATAGATTATTTGAGCAAACGTCAAATAAAAGCTGTAAATTAAATCAGGAACTTACATTAAAACTAAAACCAACTGATTTCTAATTATTTTTTAACTTCTATCCATGGAGTAAAACACAGCAGGTGGCTTTGATGAATCATACGTTATTTAAATATTCTTTGTCTTATTTTGATTTTTATTATAGAATGCAACAATATTCATCGTCTCTAATATTATTATTTCAAATCAGCAACGAACTTCAGCAAAGATGCTGCTGTTTACCTTGATTTAAAAATTAACTTCTTGACATTTGTCAGTTGAGCGTTGCAAATTTCTAGTATGTAATCCTTCAACTATATATAGTAGAAAATACGTAATTTTGATATAAATTTATATTTCCGCAAGTTGAGCACTTGAAGTTGAATTTTGGATTAAATTGGTCGAGCGTACAGCGATGAGCACGCATTCAGCAAAATACATTTATTCCTCAGTCTTTTGTACTTCGCTTCAAACTTCACCGATTTTAATATTAATACACGAAAAGAAGTTAACTTGTACTGCAAAAGAGAACCAGGGCATCAAGTCTTCATGATCTTTGTGGGAATATATTTTCTGAAATAACATGGATTTGCGCTCTGGCCAACGTTTTTTCCCAAAGTTGATTTTTTCAGTTGAGATTAAAGCGACTACACCCACCGTATACTGCGCAATCAAGGGGAAACGTTAATTTATGGTGTAGGCTGACGATAAAATTGATAAGTAGCAGGTTTTCTGCTTACTTTTGATAATATAATGAGAATGATTTTGACGTTTAGATGTGCCTGAATTATTCTCCTCTCAAGTGCTTCCAAGCTTAGTATCATATGTCTAAGCGCTTGGACATATGAGTTAATGTTTGCATTTTTTATTAAAAATGTTATAAGTAAAATTCAGTGTCACAGATGAAACATGATTCAACGGAAACATAATATTTACATAAAGTTAATAGAAATAAAAATTATTTAAAATATTCAATTATTACCGAAAGTATTAAAATTATTAAATTTATAAGTAATAGAAATTTTTATTTTTTTTCCAGACTTGAAAACAAAGGGAGGATGCAGTGGGGCTCCCTATGGCTATTGGTGGTCCTGATGGACTTTACTTTTGCTCGAGACAATAATTTTGACGCCAACAAAAGATCTGATTTTCCTCTATCCACGGGACGTGCGTTCAGCAATGAAGGAGTCGCAGCGAATACTGAACCAACGTCAGAAACTATCAGCGCTTCAAATACATTAGGAATTGAGGGAAATTATACGACAACTACGGAATTAGTAGCGATAAATACATCCACAAACGCCTCAGTTGATCATGAATTTCCGCTGTCGAGGGCCCCGGACGCCAAAGAAGATGCGGCCTCGCGCAGCGGCCCCGCACAGATCGTGCAGTTCCTCATTGGCAAATGGGGGCCTGGTAAGGGCTGACTCATCTAATTCCTTCTGCTTCTTGTTTAATTGAACCAAGTTTAAGACAGTGAAATTATATGATAATTGAAAATTTTATTATATGCTAATTGTTTCTTTGAGAAATTAATTCAATTTAATTGAAAAATTTTAAGTTTATTATATGAATTGAAGTTAATTGAAAAAATAATTAAAATTAATTGAACAAATTAATTCAACTGAATTAAATTAATTTGAATATAATTAATATTGAGAACCGAGAACAGATCGTTTGAATTAAGTTCATAAGTGTCCAATTAGAATTTGTTCTGATAAGAGTAGCATTATCATACAAAATTGTAAAGCACGTTATCGTTTCCCCACTATAATTAGAATATCAATTGTTTCGACCACGATTAGTTCATAGCATCAATTGTTTCGAACACTATCAGTTCAGAATATCAATTATCTCGACCACTATCAGTTCAAAATATCTATTATGTCGACCACTATCAGTTCAAAATATTAATTATCTCGACAACTATCAGTTCAAAATATCAATAATCTCGACAACTATCAGTTTAAAATATCAATTATCTCGACGAATATCAGTTCAAAATATCAATTATCTCGACCACAACCAGTGAACACGAAGTTTCAGCTGATTTACAGTAAAATAATTGCAAATATTAAACTACTAAATTACTTTGAATCTATAATATATGAAGTGATGAATTCAAAGGTTGAAAGGAGTAAATATTATAAATTAATGAATATTTTCATAATTTTGAAAAAAATAATTGTTCAGGAAAATTCAAGATACGTACGTTCAACCCGTATTTACTATCAACGTGGGCCCTTATAAACGTGCACTCGTTGTGTGCAAAATTGATACAGAGTGATTTTTCCCCGTACGTTGTAAACCCTAACAAACCAACGTGCTAATTTGTATCATTCGAATTGTGATAATTATTACTTATTATATCACCAACCGACTTTATGCCTCAATTGCAGAACAAGCATACAAGAGCGTCGTTCAGATCCTTTTTTTCCACCTCTTCATATCAGCGTTTTACTACCTGTTCTTCGTGCTGCATCAGGGAGTGCTGAAGCTCATCACGCTCCTGCGCTCGCCCATCATCGACTACGAGGAGCTTTTAGCCAAAATAATGACAGGCTACCCTGAACCAGAATTGCCTCATCCCCACGAAGAGTATGGATACACAGGAGGCTTCAAGCCACCTATTGGCCATCATGAAGGGCCTCCAAAACTTGGGGAGAAACCGAAAGACGGTCCGAAGCCTGAACCGAAACCGAAAGATGGTCCGAAGCCTGAACCGAAACCTAAAGATGACCCAAAGCTTGAAAAGAAACCAGTAGGACCTCCAAAACCAGTTTACCCTCCTCAACCGGTGTATCATCCAGTCCAGGGGCTCCAACCTTTTGAACCACAATATGGAGACCCACTCGATGGCCAACTAGCGTCAGGGTTCAAGGTTTTCAATGACGGTCACCACTCACCTTCTTTCGACGTTATTCATGACCCACCGATACTAGACCCCTTACAAGTGTCACCGAAAGGAGGACTCGGTGGCTCCAGCTACACGAGTTATGCAGGAGAAGTCAAACCTGTACAGTTTCAGGCCGGGCGATAAGGTGAACCTAAGTCACACAGGATAAGGGAGCTTGAGATTTTTCAACTGGCGTCAGACATTGAACTTCCCAGTAGTATTTATAAAGTATTTTGACACTTACAATATGTTAATAGTCGTTTGAACCTTCTTTATCACAGATAACTTAAGGCTCACCTGACGTGATCATCACCGGAAAACAGGTTCTTTAATTAGCAGGATCCTAACCCTAATAGATACCTCAATGCTTACAAGTACGGAAATGTCAAGCCTTCAGTACCTCAATGCCTACACTTTCATCAGATCTAGAAGAATACTTCAATACTACTAGCATCTGAAGCTCCCTCCGAAACCTAGACGAATCTTGATGTATCACACTACCATGAAAGTCCTGTCGCAATTCATTGCAATGGTACGTCAGTGCTGAGAGCAACCATGAAGCTCACTCATGAGCTTCATACTTTCTTACCTAATTTACGAAGACATGACTTTTAGACGACAGCCTCGATGGTGATATTTGGTGTGTTGGGATGACGTTTCATCAAAGGTACGATGTTTAGACGATGTCTTCGATGATGATCCTTGGTAATATAATAACAATATTATCGCGGTCAGAATGTTTAGACGTTGGCCTTCCAATAAAGACGAGCACACCAACCTCGTGGTTCTCGTCTTTCTTCACTGTTATTTATTGTTGTATTAATTTTTTATAAAACCGTTCAGTTTGTTGCTTGTTAATTTATTTAATAAATTATTTAACTAATTTTTCTCTTTGAAATTATCATAAATTGTCTTCTTTTGAAGGCATTTAGTTTTTTGTATCGCAAAAAACAAGCAGCCGCTTTGAAGAAAGAAGGAGGGAGAAGATTATAAAAATGCGTAGAGTTTTTTTTCGTTACTACGATTAATTTATCAAAACGTAATCATGAACAGTAGTTGCTGGCATAGTCTTTGCTGCTGTAATTGCGGAATCTTCAAATTACGGAGCATTTATGTTGCAGATTGCAAATTTATGTCCACATCTAGAGAAAATTAGTATGAAATTCTTATCTTGTAAGAAATAACGGAACTTTAAATTTACCTAGAAATTTGGTATATGGCCGAAATATGAAAAACGCGTGTGTCAGCGCACTTACTCATGTCAATATTGAGCATGAAATCATGGTAAAAGTGATAACAGAGGAGTTTAATGCGTACATCAACTCGTACATTAAAACGTTAATAGGAACAAGCATGCGTTAGGTGCATGGTTTCCGCTAAATCACTAGAGCAACTCGTAACAGAAAATGTTCAGAGGAGAACAATGCTGCCATGCAGACGTACGTTCGTCAACATTTGTTTAAGAATCAATTGTCAGCCCATGTACGGCGATGGTTGTGGACTTTCTTTAATACGTATATGACCGTTCGGTGCCCTCAAATCAGGGAGGTTCAAAAGTTCTTTATAATGCAGGAAACGACAGCCGCCGGTCGGGACTAGGATACAGAATGCGCTTTGAAACTTTTGTACCGTTTATTTAACCCTTCAAAAATTAGAAAAATAAATGCAGATCTTATCTTTTGTAGAGATTTTTAACGGGAAACGTGTACCCTATCTGCCTGATATTGGGATTATTGATGCATCTGAACTGAAAGAAAACCTCAATTCAATTGTACTACTACAACAGAAAACAAAGGCAATCAAGGCTTTCTCCATCATGCTCATCTGGAAAATTTTTCGTAACGTATTTCCTTTGATCAAAGCACTTTATTACTATATTACTATGGAACCACAAATAGTAATTGATTGATTAGTCAAATAATTTTTTGTTTATACTTAGTCAAACCGAACGACGCAAGCATCTTAATTCGTAGAGAACAACGTTTTGACCACGTCAACCAAAAAGGCGTTCGTCTGTTAATTACCATGGGAGTTGAAAAGTATTTTCATGTTCGATGAGCACAAACTACTTGAACTACTACACAAACTACTACTACTCTCCTTTAAATTAGTGAGTGTCGTGGCAAAGCACTCATGGATCTCTCTCGGGGCGAGCATCCTGACTTTCGGACAGTGAAAGTTGCGAGTTGCGCGGTCATTCTACGCGCACTCCATGAGTGCTGGGTCACGACCCAGCACCCCACTAAAGTAATGACTAAATCCCCACTAAAGTAATGACTAAATCCCCACTAAAGTAATGACTACCATTGAATTTTACTGGAGGAAACTCTTCTTCCCGGGTGCTGGGCTAAATTTCATCATGATAAGCCTCAAGGGAAGAACGACGTGATGCAAAGGCAAAAATTTCATCATGATAAGCCTCAAGTTAAGAACGAAATGATGCATAGGCAAAGATTTCAACATGAAAAGCCACAAGGGAAGAACGACGTGATGCAAAGACAAAAATTTTCAACATGATAAGCCTCAAGGGAAGAACGAATCAACGCAAAGACAAAAATTTCAACATTATAATTAAGCCTCAAGAGAAGAACGAATTGATGCAAAGCCAAAAATTTTATCATGATGAGCCTCAAGAGATTAGGAACGTTAGATATTGATAAAAACTTGCAGCAGTGAGTTTCGGGTTCAAAGCCCAGCAAGCTGAGAAAATTCTGCGATGTAAGTATCAGTATGCGGGAGTCTATTCAAGACTTAACAAAGGATTAAAAACTATCAATCTTCCGGCTAGTAGCTCCTTTAAATTTCTCGTCGTTCACTGGCACCTTTGATTCTGATGTATGAATTTCTAAAAGTTTCATTAATAATGTAGTTGATTATTTTAGTATAACAATCTGACACTTCATTCAAAGCGGGAATGCAATGAACCAAATTGATTTGAATTCTTACATTAATTTAATAATGCTTTATGGTAATTTGTATCTTACTTGATTTCCTAACAAATATTACACGAGTCATGAGGGCCTATCTAATAGATGTGGTTACAGGCTTTTTAGCAAGTGATTTTCAAAAACAACACCAAATTTTCGAAGCAAATGTTGGTCGTCAAAGTTTATCATGTAAAGAGCTTACTGTGCTGACGTATGCTGGTGGAGCAACCTAGTATGCTGGTGGAGGCACCTATAGTATGCTGGTGGAGGCACCTAGTATGCTGGTGGAGGCACCTATAGTATGCTGGTGGAGGCACCTAGTATGTTTGTGGAGGCACCTAGTATGCTGGTGGAGACACCTAGTATGCTTGTAGAGGCACCTAGTATGCTTAGGGAGGCACCTAGTATGCTGTGGAGACTCCTAGTTTGCCAGTAGATTCACCTAGTATGCTGGTGGAGACACTTAGTATGCTGGTGAAGGTGCCTATGTATAAATTTTAAATCAACATTTAGATGAGGTGCATTAATAACTGAGTGTCAAGAGGGCATCGAAAAAAACGTAATAACAAAATTCTTGAACGGCAAGATATGAACTTAGAACTCACATCATTACGGCGAGAAGAAAAACAAGTTTTAGTGAGTGATATGTCACTGAGGACGGGACCTTCAATTTTGTATTGCCGCAAATGACAGGCACTGTCACGACGTGTTCAATGCGAGAGCGTCAATTCTTCCCCATGCATGGAGGCCTGATTTATATTTATTGCCATAAATGGCCAAAAATGACGAATAAAAATATATTTGGCCGTTTCCTCTCCAGATATAGTTCTCGACTATTTTTTCCTATGGGAATTGTTCCAAAACTGAATAAAAAATATGATGATGGGATCTCCGATTTGGTCATTGAAACATACCGATATCTATAGTAGTTTTTTAATTAAAACTTCATGAAAGTATGTTGTTCCCTGCAACTGTCATTCGAGTCATGCTGCACAACTACAGATTTCTGAACAAATATCCGGACGGAAAAGATGTTCTTATAATGCCCAATTTTTGTGCGCTGTACCGTATATATTATTAATAAGTATAATTGTACTTATAATGATTGCTACTTAAACGTTTGGGTACGAAAGTGCACTGGATTGGGACCAGGTAACCGAGTTAGTGAAGAAACGCGCAATCATTAGTTCAAGATAATGACGTAAATAGAAAGTCACTCAAATATCAGAAGGACCTGGCAATATAATGATATAATTTCAAAGAATGTGAACGCTGCATGATGTGAGGTAATTGAAAATTCATCCCGGGCATGAGAAAGCGTCTTAGCATCATGATCCCAAACTGAGGAAATATGATCCAGCGAAAGTGTTGGTCATCAGGCTTAAAGCACTGTTAAAAAATGCACGTAATTCCTGACGAAATACAAATTCAAACCATTACAAAGTATTCTTTTTAATTCATTTCTTAAGCGAAATCAGCAACTATGATGGAATAAGCCTAAAATATTCACAGGCAGTTAGGGTTTAGGATAAGATAGATGACCACCAGACCACCGAGAAATCAACGCCAGGGAGGCTGCGTGATGTGGGCCTCGAACTACGAGAATCAGACAATGGAATGGCGAGTAAAACTGTGTGAAAATCATGCAGCAAACTACAACAACGACTCAGTACCAGTTACGAGGAACACGACTCGTTAAAGATGAAGAGATAAACAGGGGAATAATCCCTGCTGTGAGATGGATGGCGCTACAATGGGTACCTCGCAAGAGTTCTTCTCTCGACGCCCTCAGTCATTAATTTTATCGAATGTGTGAGCAGAGCCTCGGTCATAAGCCTAGTGTAATCTTACAAGTTGGTTTCTCCACCCTGAGAGATGGCGCTACAATTCTAGCGCTACTTGTAAGAGATACTGTCTAACCTCGTTCTTTCATCGTAACATATGAATTTTGAAAGACCGAAAATAATTTCAATACGAAAATATACGGCCTAGATAAACTTTTCTTGCAACAAGTTTTTTGTAAAAAAAGTAAATTATAAGTAGAAAATATCAATAAAGGAAATGCTTATTTTTTCCCTATTAATTGTATTGTTCTATTTCTTAGAGCACATTTTTAAATTGCTTGTTTTTCTAACCTTCACATGGACCCTGACTGAGATGCGATGTTATTTAGACCTGATGGCTGAGTAACGCTCTTTTTATGATCTGATAATTGGAAGGCGCTATTTTTTAATAATCGAGGACTACGTATCGCAAATTGTGATCCCCCGAATACTGAGTATTGTATTTACATATATGACTCCTAATACTACGAAAACGCTTGTATTTTAAAGTCCTGACCCTGGGTATCGTTGGCTTGATGCCCCGAACAACACCTAAAATACTTCTATTGCTCAAGTTTCTTGCCGTTTTGTTAAGTTTTCAGATGCTACTTCCTGTCATTTAGGTATGTGGACGTGGCTTTTTCCGAAGTCGGCCACAAATGGCGATTACTAGTTTCCGAAGTCACATGATCTTCGTTAATTAACAACCAACAAATAATGTTGGAGTGTAAGTAACGACTGGACAACTGGTCCTTGAGTGGATGACCAAATACCCATTCATATTTTGATCAAATTTTAGTAAATGCTCCGTCAATTTAATATGAGAAGTGCCTGAATTTGGCCTCGAGGTTTCATTGATATGCTAGCCGTGATGCAGCTGTAACCGTGTGATGATTTCTGCCTATCAGCTCTTTATGAAGAAGGTGTAAAAATTATTTTATTTTTGTCATTTATTTTCTCTCTTAAATAAATTCATTGCTTACAAACACAATTTTAAAATTGATGTGGCAGCAAATAATTTGGCGTGCATTGCCCTTTTATTTATATTGATCGATCGGCATTCGTAAATCATGTGCACACTGCACAGTGCAGCCTGTA